CCAGAAGAGCAGTCTCAACATGGCAGCCAGCAGGATACATGCACCATAACACTGGAAATGCAGGCTTGGCAGCCTGCACCAGACCTCTCTGGCCACAGGACAGCAGGGACAGCCCCTTTCCTGTACAGAGTTTAATGGCTCAGAACCACTTAAGGCCCTCGAAAATGTGTAAAACTTCCAACTTTCCAACACTGCTTTCTGGCAGGACAGACATCCAGGGAATGCCTTCACTTTGCATGCTCCTGAACATCCCATCAATGGACAGGCACCAGCCTCGTGAAAAACCTGATATTGCCTTGCAGAGTCCACATCCTTCATCAGTTATGCCACCACCACCCGGTATCTCTTCTCATGATAAAGCCAAAACACCAAGGGAACACCCAGGCTGCACTGCCACAACTCCAGGATAAATCTGCAGCAGTTCCTCAAACACCATAGTCCCTAGGTGGTGGAGAGATACCAGCTGTGGGTGACATAACTCCTCACACTTAGCCCACCCCACAGAATAAGCAACATTTATAGGTTATCAAGATTTTTTTGCCAAATTATTGCTGCGTGGGGAAAAGCAGACTATTCCCAAATCCATCTTGGGATGCCTCTCCAACTGCAAACACCATTTTACTTATACTTGGGCACAACAGTCTCCCAAGCAGGTTTTTGAGCCAGGAGGGGTATCCACATCTGTGTGTTAGTGGGAGACAGAGTGAGGGCTGGGAGCTCCCCCTCTTTGTGTCTGTCTCTGTTGAACTTGTCTGGTGTGAGATGGAGACAGAAGCAACGGATCCCAACAGTACCAACCTGTTACAGCCATACCTTCAGGAAAAGTCCAAGGAACTACCAGTGGACCTTTCTGAGCAACGGATCAATACAGAGCTTCACATCAGCTGCGCTGTTATTCACGCCAAAGGCAGTTGTTTGGATGAAGGGATGAGGAGCGCACAAGTTCACCGGTTCTCAGCGCATAAGCTCTTCCTCCCCTGCCCGATAGATGCCTTCATTATTTATGTGTGACAAATAAAAGACAGCAGTGGAAGATGCTAAAGTGTTTCTCAATGTGCAACACTTTCTGTTTCCCTACACGCACAGGCTGGGACTGTGCACCCAGGCCAGGCTGTGGGCATGCCAAGGAGCTGGTGTGCCACTGCTTAACGTGCACAAAAACCCACTGCCAGGCAGTAGCTGATGAAATATTCACCTGCTACATGCCTCTTTCCCCACGTGACTCCAGAAGTGACAAATTGTCCCAAGAAAGTGTGAGAGGAGCATCTTGGATTCAGATGGATTTGCTCTGCAGCATCCTGTGAGACGTCATCACGCCTCGCTCGCCATTTCTGCCGTCATCCCTGCACAGGGACCCACCGAATGCAAACTGCATTCAGATGTATTGAATAAGAAAAGATCAAAGACTGACTATTATAAAGCAAAGGGAGCCTAACACATACCCTGTCTTTGACTGTTTCTTTTCTTACCATCTTAAAATTCTCCTGAAGCTTCTCCTTCTGTAAGAGGATTATTTACAACCAACAACTGCAACTACACAGAGAAAATATACTTAGAGATAAATACCTTTTCTCCTATAAAAAGTAGCAGTTAAAAATATCTGTTTCAAAACAAAATCTTCCCATGGTTTCATATAAAAACCAAAAATATGTCAAAACACATGCTGTCCCCTCCAAAAGAAAAAAAAAAGCCTGAACCCACATCCTCCTTGAGTTTATCATAAGCTGTCAAGTTGCTAGAAACAGAACTGTGTAAGACATTGCCACAGCTAACAACTTTACTGGGGATCCACATGTAGCTCTTTCCCCCCCTACGAAAGTCCTACCAGATTTTGAAATGTGAGTGGTGCAGTTCAAAACAAAAAAAGAAAGGGACATGGATTTTTTTTTTTTTTTAGGATGTGTGCAAAAGTGGTTCATTTACGACTACATATTAAAAAAAAAGAGTAGATATAAATATTTATGATTGGAAATTTCATTATTTAAAATTATTCTATAAATTTGCTAGTAACTCAAAGATGAATGCCTGCTGTACAGTTTGCAAATTAAGTACCATTATTTTTCTCTTCTGCACTTGAATATTACTCACAGCTAAAGTCATTTAAAGGGGTTAACATCAGCCTTAATTAAATATTAAAGTGTGCCTGTACCTGCTGCTATTGTTGCCCTTAGAATAAGATATAACCTATTTTTGACAAGTTTTCATCTTTCTCTGTGGAAGACGCTACATGAAACCAAATCAGTGGCAAAGAGGAGGGTAATGAATAATCTATTTCATATTCCAGCAGTACCCAGAGCTCTGAGTGGAAAAATATTCAGTCAGATGATAGTATGAGGCTGCTGAGGTACCACATGACGCAGCTAATGTTTAAATAATAATAATAATAATAATAAAAAAAGAGCGATAAACAAATCATTAGCCCTTAACAGTTGTTTAATGCAATTTGTTAATGAACGTAATGGTGGGGACTAATAATGAAAGAAAATAAAAACGTCTAAACAGGCGCCAAGTTGCCAGTGATGCTCAATTATTTCCTTGTCAAGTTTTTATGATTTAATGAGCTCCTCTGGGACTGACGGCTGTCAGTCAGTCGTGACTTTTTGACACCATTACAACTTCAAATACAGCAGCAGGCAGGCTGTTTTCCTCGGATTTGAAATACTGAAATGATCTGACAGGTTTAAAGAAAAGATGTGCAAAAAAAAAAGGAGAGAGAGAGAGAGAGAGAGAGAAAGAGAGAGAGACACAGTTGCTTTTTCTTTCTTTTTCTTTTCTTTCTTTTTTTTTTTTTTTTTTTTTTTTTCCTTCTATGGGGCAGACAATCTCTGGATGCTGTTTGGTAATGAAAACCCAATCACAGAGGTCATTATCTGATGAGGTTTTCTTGGAACTGGCAGGGTTTTTTTTTCTTTATTTCTTTACTTAATGATAACCCTCGATGGGTTTGCCCCGCATGGGATGGTCAGAGCCGCACAATTTTGTTCACCATTAATTTCAGCCTTTGAAGCTCAGAGCTCTGAAGCAGCAGCAAAGAAAACCCCCCACCAAGCTGGCTCCAAAATAAGACAATCCAGCCTGCCTTAAACAGAATAGCAAATGGCCTCCCATCCCAGAGATGGGAACTGACGTCAGTCAAGCTACATTTTCTGATATTTCCCCAAAACGTATAGCATTTAAAACCCTTTAAAACTTAAGAGTCTTTAATTAAATTGCTTCTGATTTTGTATCAGTGCAGTATTAGTTTATTTATTCTGTGAGCCCAGCTGTTTAGCAGGGATGGATTTCGCACACAGCACCACGTGTGCCTTTTTTAATTTGTCGTTTCTCCACAAAGGCTGGCAACATTAGAAACATTTTGCTCTTTGAGGTTTACATTTGTAAGCACTTGGATTATTCACAGGCATGCTGTAAATGTGACCAAACTAGTCCAGGGGAAGCCTGAACCTGGGGGTGTCATCCTACCTGTGGGTGGCTGGGGCTGTGTTCTCAGTTGAAGTCATTCAATCCCCACCAAAATGTGTGGATTTGGTGAATCTCACCTGCACACTTCCAAGGCCAAATGAACAGGGGTGAGAGAGGAGTAGTAATGTGTTTTGAAGATGTAAGGTCCACCTGAGCACTATTTTACATATGGGGAGTACACGAGGATGCAAAGCAGGCACAGAAGAGTTATTAACAGGTTAGCACGAGAAACATAGCGATGGCGGGCTCATCAAAAGTGAAGATGAAGGCTTTGCGTGGCAGTCTCTCTCTCTCCCTCATTCCTATCTGAGTGGATGTATCTGATGTGACACTATGCCCTAGATTTATACTGGGATAAGGAAAACTAGCTTCCTTTCAGCTTTTTGCTGATTCCAGTAGGTGGCTAGATAGAGGGCAAAACCTAGTCATAGGTCACTGTTAAGATCAGTAGTCATGAATCAATTCCCACGATAGTTAAATTATTGAGGCAATGCAGAGAATGTCTAGGCAACAGACGGAGCTTAAGATTTCCTTCTTGACAGTTTTCTGCTTTACAAAATATGCATATTTTAATTTGCCGAGCTGAGGATAAATATCTGCAAATGCTGCCAGGCTTCCTCCTAATTTGTCTGAACTCAGTTCTGTGCCATCACTTGAAGCTAATGGCCAGAGCTCTGCTTACACAACCCAAATCTTTCTGTATCTGGGAGCCACATGGTAAATGCCCCACATCTGGCAAGGATGAAAGGAGAGGATACCCCAGGAGGAGGCTGGGGGGGTCCCATGACCTGTGCCAGTGCAGGGCCATCAAGGTGAGGAGCTGAACATTACTGTGCTGCACAGAGCAACACCTCCTGAAACCTGGGTCTGGACTACCCAGGAACTTTTGTTCCAGCAACATGAGCTGATAGAGAAACCCAGCACATAAACCGCCTCCAAACTTTGTTGTAAGCTGCATGTAACACTCAGAAAGCAGAGCTGACCCTACATGCTTGCATTTGTTTCAATGAGTAGCATTTTTCCTGTGGATCCTTTTATTCTACATTTTTCACCCTCTTTCTATGTCTTAGCTGTGGCATCAGTACCATATCCTTTCTACTGAGTTATTTGTTTCTATGTAGAGAAAACAATGACATTTAGGGCCAAAATTAGCCTCCAGGGAGAGCACAGGAAATTGGTAGAGTCCACAGGGATGCCAAAACCCCAAAAGTACTAAGGCACACATGAAAATTCAGGGCGCAGCTCCTGCCTAATGTGGGGGGAATTTAAAAGTAATCAGATTTTTGTTTCTTTGAACATCTTTCGGAAACATTTTATGGATTCAGTACAAGGGCTTAATATTCCTCCTCATTTGCAATATTTGTAAGGGATTGCAAATAATGAATTTAAAAGTTATTATAACAAAATAAACTTTATCACATCAGCAGTGATAGACCATTGTTGGAGTTGCAAACTTAAATATAAGCCAAATGACCACAACCTGTCTAAAGGAGAAGCACAGCCAACAGGAAAAGAGAAACATCTCATTTACACACAGGTAGATGAAACTATGATATATTATATCAGCTAAAAGCATATATAAATTAACATTTTTACAGTTTCTGTTTAAAAAGGGGAATATCACATCAGAATTTAATACACTCAAAATACTCCAACATGCAGTCTCAACATAGTCAGGCCAGTATTAAAAATCTAGATTGTTTAATGCACTATAATCACACATTTGTTGCTGAACTATTACTTAAGGTCTCTTTTCAATCAGCAACAAATAGATAAGTATCTTTAAATATCTTCATTAGGGCCTAGTGTGTAATGCTTATCAGTACATATATCAACACTGGAAGATTTAAAAGAGATTCAACAGATGGGCTGTAGCCACAACTCCATTTTAGGTAAGTGATGTGTTCTCATGATTTTGATGAAAGTGGAATTGCTTTGATTAAGCAGAAAAGAAAGCCTAACTTTAAACAAAAAATTGTTAAATTGAGTTTTGGATTTACATCATATATTAAACACCACCCTAAGGTTGCTCTCTTTTTAAAACTAGCTACTGTTCTTAACCAGGTTACATCTACTACGATAATGCATGATTGGGAGTTAGTCACAGCAGACAGGTTCACTTTCTACATCATTTGGTCTCTGCTTTACTTATATTCTAAATCACAGAAGGTCAGATACTGCTTGATATTCATACACCCTGCACAGCACAAGAAAAGTGCAAAGACCCCTCTTCCCTCATGAAACTCTGGCAACTTACAGGCTAATTGTCTGTGGGTTAATTCGACACACATTGTCTTTTTATACCAGAACAAGCCCTCACTCCAACAAATATTAAGATCCTGAAAACACTCAGATAAGGACAAATATGTAAGAAAAAAATAGCCCCACATGCCATCAACTATGCCATCAATAATACAAAATATTTTACACCACTTGCACCTGAGTTGAAGAGTGGAAAAGAGAGGGAGACTCTGTCAGTGCAAGAGAATGATTCATGTGACCACTTTGTCTTAATTACTCAGAACAAGCAGTTTGTTGCTGTTTAGTGAAGAACAAAGATATCAGCGTCCCCTGACAGAAAAATAAATAGCCATCATGGTGGTGAAGATGATGATGACTGCCAGAACAACGATCAAAATCCGGTTTTGGATGATCCTGGAAAAAAGCAGAAGAGACAAAAAAAATAGTAGTGAATAAAACAAAATAAACCAAGACAGCAGAATATATATAACAATTATAAAATGAGGTGCAGAAAAAAACTGTAGAAAAGACATATACCCACTAATTCAGTATTCCCTCTACCATTTTGTGTATCTTGATTATTTTTTACTTCTCCCAGTTTCCAGTGCTTCCAACTATGTCTTTATGAAGTTATTAAATCAAACTTTTGTATTCAAGAAGGAAAATAATTTTCTGAATTATGCATACATTTATATACATATTAGAATAAATGAAATAAATTATGTTCCAATTTATTAACCTTCTAAAAACAAATGAAAAAATAGTGTTCAGTCAATGCAATCCAAGCAGGGTGGTCTGTAATGGTAAATATTATATTTTTTAAAACCATTCTGAAATTTTCAGTAGTTTTAATCTGAAAAGAAACAATTTATTAATTTTCAAGGGATTTTACTATTAAGGAACAAGATTTCAAGGAATCACATGTCAATGAGATACTCACTTGTACTAAAATACCAAGGGAAAAGTACAAAAGATAGTTTTGAAGAAAAGGATGATATAAAGAAGCAAGTGTCAAACTGTGAAGCTTATGTTGTAAAAGCATCTCTTGTCTCTGTAGCATACCTTTACTTATGGTAATAGGCAATGTTACATTTCTATGCAGTAAGAAAAAAAAATGAAGATTAGTGAAAATAAAAAGATGCCAGAAGTAGAAAGTTCTAATATTTTTCAATCATTTGTTGGGAGAAATTCCTGGTTCTAAAATCAGTCACCAAATCACTTCAGATTTTTCCTAAAATTAATAGGTCAATTAAAATTATTAAATCAAGAAACAGTAGAATTTGAGGCATTTTACAGGAGGATTTTGAATTGTAAGAATTCACTGTTTGCTATTCTATTTTTACAGAGAGGGAAGAATTTTTTCACAGGCTCTTCATAAATAGGGACTTTTGCAAAACATACTTGTATATGAAGCTTATCATTAGAATTGGAAAGGTATAGCAAAAAAATCCGAACAGCCAAGTGCAATAAAAGCACCTCAAGTTATATATATTTTTCCCATGCTTCTGCAAAACAAAACAAAGTCTGCAAGAACCAAACAATGGTAAGAGGAGGTAAAACTGTATTTTGTGAAACATCAAACCAAGTACAACTTGAAGACAGGGAGTGTAATGTGTTAAAATGACCATATTTCATGCAGTGAAAGAGGGAAGAAACTCCAGAGAGTAGAGGGGAGTTTTTCTTGGTGAATGTTTTTCATTTGGATGAGGGTGGATATACATATAAATTATACTGGAAAGTGTAAAGAAAAATGCAGTTTTAACCAACTCCAGCTCTCTCCTTGCTTACCCCCCACCTAAAGGAAAAGCAGTAAATGGATGGATGAAAACTGTCACATCAGACAGACACCCTCCCCTGTGACACTCTAAAAGGACTGGCTCTCTATCCTCCTGACAGGTTACAAAATGATCACATTTGCTGACACTTCTTCCGCAAAACTGCTTTAGTGTTTGTGTCCACTTTCCTAGCAGGAGATGAATGGGCTGCTTTGTCCTCATTTATCACTTAAAGCTGAACTAAGATCTGTCTCGTTTATTTTTCCCTTCCTCACTAGAAAGGCTCAACCACAGCATTAATTCTTTCGCGATGACAGCTAATTCAAACTTAACAGGCAATATTTACTCTGCCAAAAGGATGAGGAGGAGGGAGGGATGTTTCTCACTCTTTTTTTCCCTAAAAAAAAAAAGTGTAGCAGGCTAACAAAATAAAGCTAATTAAGGGCTTTTGGTTCTTGTTGGTTTGCACTTCAATTTAACACCTGAACTTACAAGCTTCTCTTTTGTGGCGGGGTGTGACATTCTCTGCCAAACACCTGACAACAAACGATTTGCCCAGGCAAATGCATGAAAACCAGAATATATATTTACTTACTCGCCCTCATCACTCCTGAAAGGACACTCAGCAAAATTGAAACTCAGCAGTGAAATAGATTAAAAGCATGAAAACTCTTAAAACATTCAGCCTTAAGTAATACACAGTGCAGCTGGCTTGACAACCATTTTATTTGTGGGACGTGGGCCCCAAGGCATCCATAATGCTAATTTACAAAGGATTAACTGTGAGTGAAACTCGCTTAATCTAACACATAGTTAGGCAAAGGCATACATAACATACTGAGTGTTTAAATCAACTCCTCCTATCTCTGGCCCACCGAAAAAATCATTGCATTGTCTGAGAAGCAAAACTAAAAAAAAAAAAAAAAGAAGCATGTAGTCCCCCATATGCTTTATTTTTATACCCTGTTAGTGCACACCTGATTGCAAGATTATTTAATCACTGCCCATGTCTTTAAAATCCTTTTCAAGAAAACACTGAGTGAGGCAAGCCACCACCTGTATCTGTTAATTGAAGGTTCACTTACAGTGTGAATCTAGGAAATACATATCAAAGTTCAATTTCTAGGAATCTGAATTAGTCTGCACAGTGCAGCAAAAGAATATCATATTAAAAGGAACAAATTAATCATGAAATAGGATGGATGTTATCAATAGATTCCTACACTGAAGCATTATATACTTTTAATATTCAAGCCCACAGTTAAAGATTAATTTTATATCTTTAAAAAAAAATATCATTGAGTTTTACTGTTTTCAAGTGAGCAAGTAAAATTAAACTAACTGCATACTGCCCAAAGGATGGGGCTGGGAGGAGAATGACAGAGCTGTTTGGCAGCAGCAGGACAGTCCCAAGGAGGACTCAGTGGTGCCTGCTGAAATCCGAGTCTGGGAGCTGCTGCTAAGACAGAGAACACAAGTTCTGGGTGTCAGCACATTACAGATCTCAAAGTCAACAGGCAAGGACGACCCTTCAGAATAAAGAAAAAAGGAAGAGGAAAGGGGGTTTTGAGTGATCCAAGACAGTCAAGCCAGCTCACAGTTGTAGAACAATGGTTGGCATTGGCAGGACCCATCTGTAGGGAAGCCTATGGTACTGTCACAGCCAGACACTGCCAGTGGGCATTGCTCTAGGCAAAGCATCAAGAAATTTAAGTGGGGGAGGGAGTGATAATACCAAAGGAGAAGAAAATGGGGCCTAATGCTCGCTACAAAAAAATCCCAAAGGCTAACATGCTCACAAGAAGCAGATGATAGTCTTTTATCTCTATTACACCTTAAATTCAATAAAATCCGGTGAATGAGGAAGCCCAGATTTTTCTTTGAAAATGCAAAGCATGTTTACAGGGTAAATAATTTAGGAAAGAATATATACTTGAAAGAAGACACCCATTGAAACATCCATGGCTAAAATGCCTGAAGGCAAAAACTTGTGCATTTGCATGCTGCATTTTATTAAGTTAGCACACTGTAGCTTTAAAAGAATGCATGGCCAAATGAAGAGGAATGTGTGACTGAAACATCAAGGATTCCTCAAGTTTACATTATGAATCACAGTGCTGTTGATACGAGATGAATTAACCATTTAGTTGATGCAGTTTAGGCACTGAATTCACACCAAGTTCTGCTGGAGCCCTGTGCGGGAGCTCGTTAACAGCCAATGTCTACTGTTCCTTTCATACTCGGCTCTACAAGCACAAGGGCTCATTCTACTTTGAGTTAGAAGACACAAAAAATCTGTGCTTTTAAACCAAGCTCCATCTAGTTTATTATGGAGAGCAGCCTGAAATATTTGGGTGCAAAACCACACAGAAACCATAACTAAAGCAGACGCAAGGGTAACATTAACTGACGCATTGAAGAGCACTGGACTAAAAACACAGAAAGCACATCCCTCTCCTCTCGAGTTTCCTTCTGCTCCACCTTTCCAGATGCCTGACCCTTTATCCTGGCTTCTGGTCACAGTGCCTAATCTCCAATCACTGCTGTGCTGGAGGGTGCCTCCAGCCAGGACATCATCCGCCTTTGAAGATCACGTCCTTGCTGCACAGGGCAACCATCACTCTGCAGAACAGGTCCCACATGCACTACCAAACACTGATGTTCCTGGAAAATCTGTTCCCTTCACTGCTGTCCTGGCAGAATTTGTGCTGCCTTTCCACATTTCAAACCCCCAAAGGATTCGCGCCTGTCCGTGGCTTCACACACACACACACACACACACACACACAATGGGTCTAACTCTGTTTGTGCCATGTTTAGATCTGCTCTGTATAAACACAAAGCAGCTCCCGAATAAGCTTTTGCAAACCTTACATTAAGGATGCCAACCGTGTTTAAACCTTTTTATAAAACTGCATTCATTAGCAGGGGAGTGCACGACATCTATATGGGTTCAGCCTGATGTCTTGCACATGTCTTAGTGCCTGATTGACCAGCATTGAATAATGATGCCTTGCCATTAAGCACTGATGGTACAATAACAATTGTCATGAAAATCAGCAATCACGGTAACATGTTAACAAAATGCAGGATATAAATGAACCAGTGCAGACTCCGGGTGCATAAAGAGTGTGTCCTTAACTTGAGGACTACAAATAAAATACTGCAAAAAAATTCCTACAGAAGCTCAACTCTGACACTGATACAAAAAAAAAAAACAAACCAAAACCAAACAAATGGCTTGGGGGATCAGTTAGCACACATTCATTACAACACAGGGCTTTATTCTTAAAGGAGGCATCTTGAAAAATAGTGTCCTCAAGAACACAGACTGATTGATGACAGAGCACTGTCCAACAGTATTTCACTGTAATATGTATTTATGATTTAACTAGAAGTGATTCCTATCAGTTTACTGGACAGAAAGGCTTGCTTTGTATACAAAAATCACATCTTAAATGGTCACTTTGAATACTTGGCTATTGCATTTTTTGTGCCCTTTTATTTCTGATTGTCAGTTTTTGCTAGCATGAAAGAAAATAGGTGCATGCAAACCAGTGGCAAGCAATTTTTAAGTGTCCAATAGTCATATACAAATTAGTAGATTCAAACAAACACTAAGTGTGGGTCTAGTTAAAT